CAAAACTTAAATATAAAATGGCTAAAACTACATTTGACAATTTACGTGGTCATCACAAGAAAAAGAAAAAAATTGTAACTGAATTGATGGTGTTAACTAAACTTACTTTGGTAATCATTTTGCAATATGAAATCATTATGTTGTACACCTTAAATTTATACAATATTGATATCAATGATATCTCAAGAAAACTGGAAAAAAATGAATGGGGGGAAAAAAGAAAATTCAAGTGAATGCTGATTCTCAGTGAGTGTCATTCTTCCAGTTTCAAAAGGCATAAAAGATAGCATTAGTGGATAGCCCTAGTGATTTGGCTCAGTGGATAGAGCGTCGACCTGCAGACTGATGGGTCCTGAGTTCTATTCCGGTCAAGGGCACATGCCCGGGTTGTGGGCTCAATCCCAACCAGTGGGGGTGTGCAGGAAGCAGCTGATTAATGATTCTCTCTCATCTTTGATGTTTCTATCTACCTCTCCCTTCCTCTCTGAAATCAATCTATATAATAAAAGCCTAAGCAACCATATGGTGGAACAGCCAGTTCCTATGATGCACACTAACCACCAGGGGGCAGACACTCAACACAAGAGCTGCCTCCTGGTGGTCAGTGTGCTCCCACAGGGGGAGCACTGCTCAGCTAGAAGCCGGGCTCATGGCTGGTGAGCGCAGCAGCAGTGGCGGGAGCCATCTGAGTGCCAAGGAGCAGTGTGCAGGCGGCAGTAAGAAGCAAGGGGTCCAGGACTGCCAGAGAAATTTCCAACTGACAGCTTAGGCCTGATCCCCATGGGTAGTGGGCCTAAGCCAGCAGGTGGACATTCCCCATGGGGTCCCGGACTGTGAGATGGTGCAGGCCAGGCTGAGGGATACGCCCCACCCCCATGCATGAATTTTGTGCACCAAGCCTCTAGTTCAGCCGTGGGCAAACTGCAGCCTGCGGGCCGGATCTGGCCCATTTGAAATGAATAAAACTAAAAAAAAAGACCGTACCCCTTTATGTAATGATGTTTACTTTGAATTTATATTAGTTCACACAAACACTCCATCCATGCTTTTGTTCCGGCCCTCCGGTCCATTTTAAGAACCCATTGTGGCCCTCGAGTCAAAAAGTTTGCCCACCCCTGCTCTAGTTAATAAATAAAAATATATATTTTTAAAAAAAAATTTAAAGGCATAAATAAAGGATAAACACTGGTGAGAGACAGAACAAAAGAGTTAGAATTAAATAGAATTATATCCTAAAAATTACATTTATATAGTGTTTACTATCCTCAGAGTGTTTTTACCTTATTTCATCATTTCAATAGCACTGTAAGGTAGGTGAGGCAGGTATTGTCTTTGTTTATTGAGAAAGAAACAGAATATCAGAAAAGCTGAGTGATATGCCTGATGGAACTAGCACTTGAACCTATTTCTCCTGATCTCTACTGCAGTATTTATTCCATTATATTTTATTGCTGATTGAAATGAATTTATATGCACTCTAAGACATTGGATGGAGAATTAAACTCAGTGTTTATAAGCTCTCAGAATGCAAGGGGCACATACCTGTTTTATGTTTTTCTTCTGAACTTGATCCTTCCCAAGTACTTAAGAATATGCTGTCATGTGTATGTGATACTAACATTTTTGACACCCAGAATGATATTGCTACTGGTTCTCTGTCTTCTTACTGGTGGTGACCGGTAGGCAATGAGCAGTCTATCACCTTTTTCATGATCTTACTCAAATCTATCCCCAGTTATTCTTTCTAAAGCCACAATTCTACTCTTAAATTGAGATATAATCACATATAATAAAATTTAACATTTTAAAGTGTACAATTCAGTGGTTTATGGTACATTTACAAGATTATGCAGTATTCATCACTATCTAATTTCAGACATTTTCATCATTCCAGAAAGAAATCTCAGACTTGTTAGCAATCACATCTATTCCTCCCTCCCTGACTCTTCAGTCAACCATTAATCTCTTTGCTGTCTATATGGATTTGCTTATGCTGGACCTTTCATATAACTTTTTATTCTGGCATGTGTCAGTACTTATTCCTTTTTATGGCTAAATAATATTCCATTGTATGGATATACCACATTTTGTTTATCCATTTATCAATTGATGGACATTTCCATTTCCATTTTTATGTCTGTATTATATCATAATGCAGCTATGAACTTCTGTGTACAAGTTTTTGTGTGAACATGTATATATGTTTTCAATCCTCATATATACATATGCATAGAAGTAGAATTGCTGGGTCATATGATAATTGTATGTTTGATATTTGAAGAACTGTCAAACTGTTTCTCACAGTGGCTGCATCATTAGCAATGTATGAAGAGGACCTTATGTTTTTTGTGTGGACCAGTCATCATTTTTCAAATGCATCTTCAAGCCTGTTTTTTATTTCATTCCCTTCCACCTCTATCCCCGCTTCCCCCATCTGACCACCTGTTGAAATTCTATGCTTCCTTAAAAACCAAACTCAAATACTACTTGTGCGATGTCTTCTTAGATTACTGAGTCTAGAAGTAACTTCTTTCTATTGTGTATAGTTGTAGCATTTATTTCTCTTTTAAGCCTTTTTGTAATCATTGTTTGAGTCTTTGACTTATTTCTTCTACCATATTTTTGTGCTTTCATGGTGCTTTGTATAAAACAGGACTTCAGTAAATATTGGAGAAACAAATGGGAGAGGATTGAAAATCCTTAACCTGGATTTTTAAAATGTTATATGATACATATACTCTGTATTTGGCTCTATAGTAATATATAATACCACATCAGACCAGTACTTTTTATAAAATTGAAATGTTAACATCTAAATACCATCTTCAGTAAAAACATTCCAGAATTTGGAATCATGATTTTATCTATCCTTACAAACTGGCAAGTATATGTATCTGCAAATACCTAATGTTGTGGGCTTATAACAAGTTCTTAGTTGTACAGTTACCTTTTGATATAATTTGACAACTAATATTCTACATTTATCTATTGGCATGTATCTATAATGCCATCTTTGTAATTACATATTAATGAAGCTGTGTTGTATTATACAGTACTAAGTACATACTAGTACATAGTTCATTGCTCAATGTTATTAGGTCTGAAGTTAAAAATTTATTTTGTAAAATTATAGTATACTAGGTAATAAATTACATCCAAATCATTCTTTCTTTACTGTCTTTATTAGGATATCTTTATTTGGTGTCCATTGTGGAAACTATAATCAACTAGCTAAATATGCCAAATAATGTAGTCCAAATATGGAGGTGCTTTGTTTATAAATTTGTGATATAGTATGGCCTAGTGATTAAGCGCACAGATTCTGTAGCTTAGTGGCCTGAGTTTGAAACCTAGCTTTGCCATTTATTAGCTGTGTGACTCGGAAGAACTACGTAACCTTTCTATTCCAGTTTTTCTATTTGTCTACAAAAACTGTTAACTTCCCCAGGTATACATATTTATATATTACTAGAGGCCCGATGCATGAAATTCGTGCAAGAGTAGGTCTTCGCAGCCCCAGCTGTCTTGGCTGCCTTGGCCCTTGCAGCCCGGCTTTGTCCAGAAGGTTGTCCGGATGGTCATTCCGCTGTTTGGCTATTCGGTTGATTTGCATATTATGCTTTTTTAAATTTTAGATAGACATATATAGGTATGTAAATATGTACTCATGATTATATACTATGAGTACTCATGTTCATGTTTACTTACATGTACTTATATACTTTTAGCAAAATAACGACCATACTGTTTTGAATCTTGTGGCTTTCACTTAGCTTGATGGTTTCTCATGCCATTCAGTATGCTTCAGAAACACTGTGTATAGTGACTGCATAGTAGTCCATCCTGTGACTGTTCAAAATGTATTTACCAAATTCCCCATTGTAGTTTTTTCTTTTTCTTTTTGGAATTTTAATTAATGCTGCAGTGAACATCCTTGCATATTTTTGTCTGGCTTTCAGATAAGGTATATCAACATATGTGTAGCTCCATCTATTGAAAAAAGTCTGCATTATTAACTGGTACACCTGGTAAATTTTTAATAGATTCCTTAAAATAGAATTACGAGGACAAAGAGCATGAGCTTTTAAAAAATATATTTTTATTGATTTCAGAGAGGAAGGGAGATAGAAACATCAGTGATGAGAATCATTGATTGGCTGCCTCGTGCCTGCCACCTGTTGGGGATCAAGCCCACAACCCAGGCATGTGCTCTGACCGGAAATCGAACCTTGACCTCCTGATTCATAGGTTGGCGCTCAACCACTGAGCCACACAGTGGAGAAGGGCATGAGCTTTTTAAGGCATTTTGACGCATTTCCAAATTGCTTTCCAGAAAAGTTGTGCATATTTTATTTAAGAGAATTTATTTAAAATGAACTTTATTTGAAATTAGTGGGTTGTTTTTATTTTCATAAGTTGATTTTGCTATATCATTTATTTCAATGAATGTGTATTGAATATCTACTATTTGCAAGGTATTTTAGACCCAGAGGATCAATGAACAAATAGGTATGGTTCCTAATCTCATGGAGCTTGCTTGTCTCTAGGACTGCAGATATTTGGCAGTGGATTACATTATTTTAAATAGTTAGAATTGAATAAATTAATTAGAAGCAAGGAAAAGTTGTGCCTGAATGACTTATCTATGCTATCTAGTCTTTTTACTATGTAGTCCTGTATACATCATATTGGGGGGCTATGTTCATAGACTTGCTTCATTGAAAAAATGCTGCTTTTCAGCTCTGTGTTAGGCACAGAAGATACAATGCTCTCTAGAAAACTTGAATTTGGTATGTCTATGTTATATTTGTAATCAGAGCTAAAGATAGGAGATAGTTGAGAGGCTCCCTCAAAGTCTCTTCCCATAGTCCCATATTTCTGCAGTAATTTATCTGGTTATACTTAAATCCCAAATCAGAAGTCATATTACCTTAAATTGCAGTTATTCTAACAATATTGAGATCAGTTTAATGGATATTGCATCTTTAATTCATAAACAGGTTGAATCATTTATTTTGGACCAAGAAGACCTGGATAACCCAGTGCTTAAAACAACATCAGAGATATTCTTATCAAGCACTGCAGAAGGAGCAGACTTACGCACTGTGGATCCAGAGACACAGGCACGACTAGAAGCATTGCTAGAAGCAGCAGGTGTGTAATTTTTGTTTTCTCTTCTTCAACTCTTTAAAAGTCTAGATTGTTACACAAAGTTATACAAGATTACCCCTAAATTATATAACACTAGAGGCCCGGAGCACAACATTCGTGCACTCGGGCGGGGGGCTCAGCCTGGCCTGTGCCCTTTCGCAGTCTGGGAGCCCTCAGGGGATGTCCAGCTGACAGCTTAGCGCAGCCGTGGAGGTGAGAGAGGCTCCCGCCACCGCTGCTGCGCTCCCCAGCCAGTCAGCCTGGCTTCTGGCTGAGCGGTGCTCCCCCTGTGGGAGCGCACTGACCACCAGCGGGCAGCTCCTGTATTGAGTGTCTTCCCCCTGGTGATCAGTGTGCATCATAGTGACTGGTCATTCAGCCATTTGGTCGATTTGCATATTACCCTTTTATTATATAGGACTAGAGAGGCCTGGTGCATGAAATTCGTGCACTGATGGGGGGGGTTGTCCCTCAGCCAGGACTGCACCCTCTCACAGTCTGGGAGCGGGCCTAAGCCATCAGTCGGACATTCTTAGCGCTGCCGCAGAGGCGGAAGAGGCTCCCACCACTGCTGCTGCGCTAGCCACCCATGAGCCCGGCTTCTGACTGAGCAATGCTCCCCTTGTGGGAGCACACTGACCACCAAGGGACAGCTCTTGCATTGAGCATCTGCGCCCTGGTGGTCAGTGCGTGTCATAGCAACCGGTCATTCTGCTGTTCGGTTGATTTGCATATTAGCCTTTTATTATATAGGATTATGTGAAATTTGAAATCTCTATACAATATATTATTTTTTTTTCCCTAAAGAAAACATTCACATTTTATATTTTAAAAATTCTTGGTTGAAAGTTTTCTGTGAGTGATTTCTGGGCTCTGCACTAACATATTTAAGGTATTAGATAATAACCTAGTTATCAAGGAAAATTTATTACTAATTATATTATAAAATAAAACTGTGAAAGGTAAACTTAAATTTAGTTCATCAAATTATGAATCTTTTAACTGATTTAGGGAATTCTATGATTATTTTAGTCTATGTATCTTAATAATAGATTGCTTTTTTTTTTTTTTTTACTTAGAAGATCTTAAATAAAAATTGAACACAAAATTGGATCAGCTCTAGTCAAATATACCAAGCTATATCAACTTATTCTGAACTAGCAGAAAAGAAAATCTGTGATAAGCATGCTTTCTCAAAATAATATGTACTTATCACTGTTTTATTTTTCAACCTGCTTCATTATTTGCTACACAAAATTTCCATTATACTTTAATGAAAACCTTTTATCTCCTAAAATTATATTTTGAGAAGGAAGTTAACTTTTTTCTGATATTTGTATATTGCTTTTGAATGTTCACTTTGTATGACACTTCCTTTATTTACTTAACACATTGCGGACCAGTAGTTTTATTGCTAGCTTTACCCAGCGGCCAGGTAAGTTTCTATTGAACAAGTACAAAAACATTTTACATAAATGTTAAAGGCACACTTTAAAATTAAATACCCATTGCATCTTGAAGTTATTTATTACATGTTCTTACAAGCTAATATCTTTTTAAAGTATGATACTTTGTAAAACACTCTAATATGAAGTGAGAATTCTCGTGATCCGTCCGCAATGTGTTAAAATAAATATATGCGCACATTACACATATGTAAGAATTTAATCTGGAAGAATTTACAGCTTATTTTTTAAAATAGCACCTAGACACTTCTTATGGAGATATATGTGTTTTTACAGCGATATATATGTTAGGCCATGTTACAGCTATTAAAATACGGAAAATAAAAAATAAAAGTTTAAAAAAGTATGGGGAATGTCATTAAGCTTCTGAGTACAATTGATTCTAGAACAACACAGGAGGTTAGGGTTGTCAACATCCATGCAATAAAAAATTCACATATAACTTTTAACTCCCCCAAAACTCAGTTATTTCTCAGCATTTAAGGGGTTTGGTTCCAGGACCCTCTGAGGATATCAAGTCCATGGATGTTCAAATTCCTTATATAAAATGGCGTAGAACAATGCATGCAATTGGCCCTCCACATTTGTGGATATGAAACCCCAGGGAAATGTAGGGCCAACTGTATATTGAAAAAAATTCGTGTGTAAGTGATCTCGTGCAGTTTAAACCCGTTTTCTTTAAGGGTCAATTGTCCTTTAGTAAACATAATATTAAAGTTAGGTATTCAGAAAAATTACAGCAACCTTTTAACACATTTGATATTGAAGGAAATAAGCAATGATACATTTGACCAAATCATGACTAGGGGAAAAGTAGGAGCTAAAAGAAATTGAGTTTTTCTATATTATTCTTAGAAAGACATAAATAGTATGTTAGGAATGTATTTACTTGATATCCTCTTGTTATTCCTTTAATTTTATCCTGTTATGAAAGCATAGGTACAATTTTTAGTGATTGACTTTTAGTCCATTTAATGTCTCTTTTTGGAATTGATACACACTTAAAAATATATTGAACAAAACATGTAAGTATCCAGCAGAAGACTGTTTAATTTAGGGCAGGACTAGTAATTACAGCAACAACAACAAGAAAAAAAGGAATGAAGATCACATTAGTAATTATACTAGGCATCCCTCCCTTTTAGTCTGATTTTTTATGAGTTTCCTGGTTGTGATTTAGGGGTATAGTGTATAATATTTCTAAAATGGGAATGCCCCTAGCCACCTTCTTTTTTTTTCCTGTGCTTTGGAACCTTACATTTTACTTAGAACAGAAAGAAATGTGGAGAAAAGGCATTCCTATTTTCCAAATATTTTCTGGACTAATTTCCTTTCCTTTTCCAGACCAAGTTTTTTTAGTGGTAGTACATCTTTACCCCTTGGTTTAGGCTGACACTTCACTCATGTTGTGAGTACTACTTCAGATCTCTAATTAAGGGTTTTAAATTCATTTCTCTTTTTTTCTGATTCTCATGATTCTCACTCAGGACTGCCTCTTTTCTGGTACATTAAGTAATTTTTGTTTTTGTATTCTTGATGTTCTTTTTTGTTGTTAATCCTCACCCAAGGCTATTTTTCCATTGATTTTTAGAGAGTGTGGAAGGGAGGGGGAGACACAGAGAGAGAGAAACATCAATGTGAGAGAGAGACGGCGATTGGTTGCCTCCTGCATGTGCCCTGACCAGGGCCTGTGATCAAGCTTGCAACCTAGGTATGTGCCCTTGACTGGAATCGAACTTGAGACCCTTCAGTCTGTGGGCTGACACTCTATCCACTGAGCAAAACCAGCTAGGGTCATTTTCTATCTTATTGGGCAAGTTTTCCCATTTTTTGTTGTTGTTCTCCAAAATTTTTTTTACTATTTTTCTCTCATTTTTAGTAGTAACAGGCAGTGATACTGTCAACAAAATTTTTGCTTACAGTAGTCACTGATTCTAGATAAAACAATTTATTGCCAACTTAGACATCTGATAGTTCTACTTGACTGTGAGTGCTGTGAGGACAGGAACTATGTCTTACTCCTTTTTGTCTCCCTTGTGTCTGGCACATCATAAGCAAATAATAAATTTAAAAATAAAAATGAATTTTTTAATTAACATTTTTTTTTATTTTAGAGAAGAAGGGAGAGGGAGTGAGAGAAACATCAATGATGAGAGAGAATCATTGATTGGCTGCCTCCTGCATATCCTCTACTGGGGATCGAGCCTGCAACCCAGGCATGCACTATGACTACAAATCAAACTGTGTCCTCCTGGTTCATAGGTTGACACTCAGCCACTGAGCTGCACTGGTCGGGCAAGAATGAATTTATTTTAATTTAAAATGTGGCCCTAGAAAATGGTTCTAAGTGGCTATTTGGCCAGAGGAAGAAACTATTAGATTGTTTGTTGAACATTACAGAATATCCCCTTTGTTGCTACTGAAAACAGTCTATAAACAAATACAATTCTGTCTTAGAGATCTTATGGTATGACTATATACTTTGAAGGAAATCTCATTTATTTGCTAAAATAAGAATCCTATTAAGTTACATTTGGAGTTAAGTAGGGAACAAATTAATATTATATGCACTGATTGTAAAGATGGAAAGACTAAAACATAGGTGATTATGATGGTCTTTTGACATTAGTGGCAAAATTGAAATTATCAGCCTAATCTTTCTTGTTTAGAAATGTAATTACAATTTGCACTTTTATGGTTTTCTTTCCCTGCACTTCTGATTACTTGACGCACACTGAAGGAATTGGCAAATTGTCAACTGCTGATGGTAAAGCTTTTGCAGATCCTGAGGTACTCCGGAGATTAACATCCTCAGTAAGTTGTGCGCTGGATGAAGCTGCTGCTGCACTGACACGAATGAAAGCAGAAAACGGCCACAATGCAGGACAAATAGACACGTATGTATTTAATGACTTCTGCTGGATGTTAGATGTTTTCTTGAGTGGTAAATTTTGGTTAAATATATCTTTTGAAGGGGCTTATAAATTTTAGTCAAGTGGATATTATACAGGGTGGACATAAGTAGGTTTACTGTGCCATTGTGATATTCTTTTGAATTTATAAAGCCATTGTAATAATCATAACCTGCATGTCTTTGTGTATGAACAACTGTAACCTACTTTTGCCCACTTTTGTATTTTAAGTTGATATATAAATGTGTATATAAATATGGATGTAAAAATGGATATTATATTTTTATCCTTACATTCTACTCATATTCATTGAGCGTCCTTGTGGAATGTATTATACTAGAGTGTGAGAAAACAAACTGAATAAGATCTGGTTTCCATTTCTAAGGAAGTTACTTTTCCTAATAGTTACAGGAGTAAACTTTAAATTAGCTGCTTTGAATAGTAATAAATAAATTGGTTGAAAATTGCTAAGAGAGTAAATCTTGAGAGTTCTCAGCACAACAAAAGAAAAAACCTACTTTTTTGGTATCTAAATGAGATGATGGATGTTAACTAAACTTATTGTAGTCATTTCATAAATGTAAGTCAAGTCACCTTAAACATGTACTGTGCTGTATGCCAATTATAGCTCAATAAAATTGGGGGAAAATAATAAATGAAATGGATTGTTAATGCAATAATCTAGGTGCTTGCTACTCAAACATGGTCCATGTACTAGCAGTATCAGCATCACCTCACAGCTTATTAGAAAAACAGAATTTGGATCTACTGACTCAGAATCTGCATTTTAATAAGAAATACTGGTGATTTGTATGCACATTAAGTTTGAAATTCACGGATTTTGTTAGTAATCATTCTGCAATAAAATTTTTACTTAGATTTTTACCTTCTATTACCGAATAAAATTTTAAACCATAGGATTATATCCCAGATATCTTTGAGAATCATTACACTAATACAGTATTATTTAAAAACTTGTGCATCGAGTCCAAACGGATAGCTCAGTTTGTTAGAGCATAATCCTGGTACACTAAGGTTGTGGGTTCAATCCTAGATAAATGGAACAACAAATTGATGTTTCTCTCTCTCTCTCTCTCTCTCTCTCTCCCCCTCTGTCTCTAAATCAACAAATAAAAATTAAAAAGAAAAACTTGTGCATCCTAATAGCTTTAAAAAGCTTTATTTAAAATTTAATATGACAATATGTTAGGATATTTTAAAATACAAAAATGACAACTATTTCATATTCACTTACTCTGGCTTAGTTGATATCCATGAATAAGTATTGCAAACAAGATGCTCAGTAAACAAGGTATTCATACAGTTTTGTTTTTTACTATATCAATATTTTTCTATGTGTGACTATTTATACTTAATGTAATTTATGATCATGGAACCCTGAGTCTTTCTGGGTTGCTTAATTGTTGATGATTTTATTTTCAGTCGCAGTCTGGCAGAAGCTTGTTCGGATGGTGATGTAAACGCTGTTCGTAAATTACTAGACGAAGGCAGAAGTGTAAATGAACATACAGAAGAAGGAGAGAGCCTGCTGTGTTTGGCTTGTTCAGCAGGGTATTATGAATTAGCACAAGTAAGCAGAAGTAATGTTTGGTGATTAAAATTATTGAAGGGTTTTGATGTTTTATTTTATCATTAATAAAAAAAATTATAATTATAAGCCAAAGTCTTTCCTTCTTGGCGTAGGTAAAATAGAAACTGATACATAATTAATTTGTTGCCTGTACATGCAACTAGGCATGGTCCATTTTTCTACCACTTACTCAAAACTAGACCTAATGAATAAACATTTAGAAATAATAATATTTTAAACTTTGGAAATAATATGCAGCTATAATAGAAAGTGATGATTTATTTTCATTTTGCCAGATTACCCCAATTCTTTTAAATTTTTCCTCCTGTTGGAGCAATATTGGGAAATAGCCATGTGTTTATCAGTTTCTATCTTGTGAGTGTAGTTTTGCTGTTCTCTTACTAGATAATCCCAAGCATAATACCAGTTCTTTGACAAGAGCAGTTCCATTATATAATAGGATGGGTAATGTGATTACATACTTAAAGATTAATATGTAATGGTATTGTAAAAATATAGCATCTAACTTGGTGTTTTGAGCACCGAATGCTGGCATATTTTCCCAAAGGTGATTATTTTTTATTTTTTATTATCCCCCTACACACACTCTAAAAGAGTATTTTCCCAGATGTAGTATATTCTCTGGAAATAATGTTAATAGTAAGAATTGATAATTTCTCTGTGTGTATGTGTTTTAAAGGTATTGCTTGCTATGCATGCTGATGTTGAAGATCGAGGGACTAAAGGAGACATAACTCCCCTAATGGCAGCATCCAGTGGAGGTTATTTAGATATTGTGAAATTATTACTTCTTCATGATGCAAATGTCAACTCCCAGTCTGCAACAGGTATATAGAAAATTATGTGTGAATTTGAAAAAGTTGATAAAATTAATTATAACCTGAGAGATAAAAATTTGACTCTTAGGGAAAACCAGTTGTAAACCTACAAAAAAACCTTAGCCCTTGTTTAGAATCTGACTAAAATACAGATTAATTTGATATCTTCAAAAGTCTTTAAACCATACTTAGATTCTATTTGGTAAGTTTTTCTGTAGGGGACAATTTGTTTCTACCACAATTATATGCATTGTTTAAAGAGGCAAAATTATGGACTGTATGTCTTATAATTTCTTTATCTCATTTAGTACAGCTCCCTTGACTTTAGATTATAGATTAACCTGAGACTATTTTTTTTTATAAGATATTTTTATTGCTTTTAGAGAGGAAGGGAGAGGGAGAGAGATAGAAACATTGATGATGAGAGAGGACCATTGATTGGCTGCCTCCTGCACGCCCCCCCACTGGGGATCGAGCCCGCAACCTGGGCATATGCCCTTGACCGGAATCGAACCCAGGACCCTTCAGTCTGCAGGCCGACACTCCATCCACTGAGCCAAACTGGCCGGGGCACCTGAGAGTATTTTTTTATCCATAAGATTTTTTCATGACACATGTACTGAATGCATTTACTAATAAGATATTCTAATGGCAGCATGAAAACTCCTCTAGTAAGGACTACTCTTTTATTTATTAACTACTAGCCTGTTGCACGAAGCCTGGTGCACGACATTCATGCACAATAAAAGGAAATTAATTGCCCTAACCGGTTTGGCTCAGTGGATAGAGCATCGGCCTATGGACTCAAGGGTCCTGGGTTCGATTCCGGTCAAGGGCGTGTACCTTGGTTGCAGGCACATCCCCAGTAGGAAGTGTGCAGGATGCAGCTGATCGATGTTTCTCTCTCCTTGATGTTTCTAATTCTCTATCCCTCTCCCTTCCTCTCTGTAAAAAATCAATAAAATATATATTTTTTAAAAAGGGAATTAATTAGCAGAGATGTTTTAATATTGCTATTTGCCCTTTCTCTGTAATAGAAGTGTGAGAGATGAAAGGAAATTAGTAAAATGTGTATGAAAATAATATATACATTTATCCTATCTAATAAAGAGGGGATATGCTAATTGACCCTCACACCATCGCAAAGTCGGCGGCACCCACAGCCAATAAAGAGGGAATATGCTAATTGACTGCCCCGCCCTCAGAGATGGCAGCACCCACAGCCGCAAGATGGCGGTGCCTAGTCCCCTCAGCCCTGCTGGGGCAGCAAGGCCGGGCCCGCTCCGTGCACCTGCCTATGGAGTCCCCCAGTCCCCTCAGCCTCCCAGAGCCGCCCAAGGCTCAGGTAACCAGGGCCGGCCGAGGCTTACACTGCCTGCAGTGGCAGCAGCACAGGTGTGATGGGGCGTCGCCTTCCCCTGATCTCCAAGTCGCCTCCTGTCCCTGAGGGCTTCCAGACTGTGAGAGGGGGCAGGTCGGGCTGAGGGACGCCCCCCCTCCAGTGCATGAATTTTCATGCATTGGGCCTCTAGTTAATAAATAAACAGTAACAAAAGGATATAACAACAACAGAGGCATGATATAAAAACATGATATGAAAACAACAAAAACATGATATAAAAACAACAGTGATGCAAACAATGACTGATAAAGTGATTAAACTTATTCTAATATCTCCCTGTACACCACATTAAGAGTGAAAACATTTTCAGAGTACTTGACTAATTTCCCTTGTGATGAAGTATTTAGAACTTTAACTATAACGTCACATGGTCTTCAAACTGGAGAGAAGCAACATATACTGACCATGTGCAAAAACGGGTTCAGGTAGGAATATGCCTACTCTGTCTAGAGTTTGTCCTTGTGACTTATTTTTTATTTTATTTTTTTATATTTTACTGATTTTTTACAGAGAGGAAGGGGGAGAGATAGAGAGTTAGAAACATCGATGAGAGAGAAACATCGATCAGCTGCCTCCTGCACATCTCCTACTGGGGATATGCCCGCAACCCAGGTACATGCCCTTGACCGGAATCGAACCTGGGACCTTTCAGTCCGCAGGCCGACGCTCTATCCAGTGAGCCAAACCGGTTTCGGCATTGTGACTTATTAATAGTCATCACAAATGCTGGCATCACGGGAAACCATCATCGAATCAATTTAAATGGGAGGCCGGTGTCAAATGGGGACAAATTAATTCTTGGAATCAGAACAACCTCTCCCTCTGAAGATCCTGTTAATACTTCAGCTTAGTAATGTTAGGTCGTAATCTTTTGATAATAAATCTGGTACCATTACAAAGACCCCATTTACTATTGAGATTTCTCAATAGCATGATGATTGCACCCACTTTCAATTTTAATTTATGACACGGCATTCCCGAAGGAGTAATACTATTAAGAAATTTGATGGGAAAATTTTCCTTTTCAGCATCATCTGTGGAATCATCACTAAAATATGTGTGAAAATCTCCACCGAGTATATCCAAAATTTCTTCATTTAATTTTTGAACATGCTCATTTTTTGGACAAAGAATTGCATGTATAGATATATTTTTAATATTATCCATAGATATAGTATTTCCAAAGGTAGCTTCAATAATAGATCCATTACAAATCATTTCACAGGGGATTTCAGTAATACCCATTCCTAAATGAAAACTGCTATTAAGTTTGCCATCTCCAAGTTTTACTAACCATCTACTATAAGCAGAATCCTCTGATCTCATATTTGTTGTAAGAGACAACTTTCTGAAACATCCCCAAACATTGCAGTACTTTAAACTCGTTTGTACTATGGCCGATCCTATAGCATGCGGTACAATACTGAGACATTGTCAAAAATCCCCTCCAAGAAGGAGAACTTTCCCACCAAATACAACATTCAGACTCATAATTTCTCTTAGTAATCTGTCTATGGCGTTTATAGCATGACTGGATGCCATGGTGCATTCATCAATAATGAGAAGTTGGGCCTTTATAATAGTTTTAGCAACTTCACTGTTTATATCGAGTCTAGAAATTGAAGTTTCATTTAATGGAATCGGTAATTTATATTGGGAATGAAAGGTGCTTGCACCGAGAAGTAAATTTGCAACAATTCCTGTAGACGCTGTGGGTAAAACAGTACCACCACGACCTCATATAATGTATTAAAACTTTATACACATATGCAGGTGAATAGGATTCCTAGCTGGCAGGCCCCTGACAGCAAGCTGGCCACCTGTTGATTCCGTGAGGAATGGGGCTCCCTCCTCCCTCCTGTCAGGGTCCGGGGTGCAGGTGAATGGGGTTCTTGGCTGGCAAGCCACTGACAGGAAGCTATCCAACAGCAGATTCTGTGAGGAATGGGGCTGCCTCCTCCCTACTGTCTGGGTCTGGTTCGAAGGCTGGCCACGCCCCCTGTTGGGCCAGACCGAGAGTTCTACCACGCTGTGGCCTCCACCTCAGCAACCCAGGGCTGACTGTTGCTGGGCGCTCCTGGTGCTGCAAGAGTGGGTTCTTCCCTCAGGCCTCACAGGAAACAGCTCGGGGAGGGCACAGCCCTTGGCAAGGCAACCCAGGACTCAGTGCTTCCACTCTCTGCTCCGAGGGCAGGTTCCTGCCTGAAACCTCGCCCACCAGGAAACAGCTGGGGGAGGGCGCAGCCATTTCCAAGACAACCCCTGCAGAACTGATTTCCTTCCAGTTGGTTGTGCCTGAGGTCATGATGTTACATCCAGGGTTTTTATATAAGTAGATGCTTTCCAGACTCATAGACAGGAAGAGCCTTGGTCGTATCTCTTGAGTTATAGGGTAGTTTTAGTAGTGAGATTCCTTGGATTTAGAGTTCCATGCAATTAAGTAAATATTAAATGTAACCTAGTTTATTTTTAAAATGAACAAGACTTCATAGAAGGGATTCTAGGTAATTTTGCCCCCCAAGTTGTAGTAATATTAATGCATATAATGTCTGAGATGGTGAAATGGTTGAATTCTGAACAAATTGAGTTTTGAAATGATAGTTTTCTTGCTGAACCTTTAAAATAATCTTCTCTAGTCTCATTCTGATGGATAGTTAAACCCTCTCCCCACCCCCTTTAATAAATAAAAATCCTCAAGCCCAGCCAGCGTATCTCAGTGGCTGGGCATCAACCTATGAACCAGAAGGTCACAGTTCAATTCCCAGTCAAGGCACATGCCCAGGTTGCGGGCTCGATCCCCAGTGTGGGATTTGCAGGAGGCAGCTGGGCAATGATTATCTCTTATTGATATTTCTTTCTCTCTCTCTCTCTTCCTCTCTGAAATCAATTTAAAAAATATATTTTAAGGAATAAATAAATAAATCCTCAAAACAAAATCAGGAAAAAAATAAGTGGTAAACCAAGGGATAATGACCTTTTAAATATATTTTTCTTTTGAAGGAGTTATGCTGAGGGCTATTTATATCTGTCTCACTAGGTTACTAAATATAGATTGAAGATATGTTTCAGAAGAAAATGTACCTAAAACAATGAATTGTCTTATGAACAAATCTGTAAAGATAAAGAAGAGCTATAAGAAATGAATATACATAGAAATAAAATTGTTTCTAAGTTGTACAGTTTTGAGAGAAAAAGGAATAATTATAAATGATATAATAGAATATTTTAGATAAAAATATTTTGAAAGTGATTTTTCAAGATGGTTCTTAATCTTGAGCTAAGGAAATGTGAAGAGTGGTAAATTGATCTGTTTATAAGATGATGTTTCTAACTAGTACAACAGAAAAACTTGAGATGATAGTTTATTCCTTATGCAAAAAAAATGGAAGAGGTAGAACTAAAGCAGTAGCATAATTTTATCTATTCTATCATAATTTTGTATATCTTTGGTTCTTTGTTAGGAAACACTGCATTGACTTATGCCTGTGCTGGAGGATTTGTTGACATTGTGAAAGTGCTACTTAATGAAGGTGCAAATATAGAAGATCATAATGAAAATGGACATACCCCCTTAATGGAAGCAGCCAGTGCAGGTCATGTGGAAGTTGCAAGAGTTCTTCTAGATCATGGGGCAGGCATCAACACTCATTCTAATGAATTCAAAGAAAGTGCTCTTACACTTGCCTGCTACAAAGGTACTCTATATATGTATGACTAGGGCTTTTTAAAATAACAACTTTGAATATTTGAGTATTGAGTATTTGATTTAATTTTATATTGCTTATGTTTTCCCTGTACTATAAAATTATCTAGCTTACACCAGATTATATAGGAAGTACATTTTAGCCTTTATTTCCTGAAGTTTAGCTTTACAATGTATGTTTCTTTTGTATTTTAATTCAAATTTATTCAATTAGCTATAAAGTCAACCAACTCTTAGCACAGATTTAGAGGGTTTCCATTCTTTAATGACTTTTGTTTTATATGATTTTCTCAGCCTTTATTTAACAGATAATTCACACTCAAATAATATAATAATCACACTTGATTCAAAAACCTGAAACACACAGAATAGCATAAAGAAAAGAAATTTTATAATGGCAAGTATATTTGTAAGCAAATGTATATATACAGGCATACCTCGGTGATATTCCATTTCAGACAACCGTAATGAAGCAGTCTCTCAATAAAGTAAGCTGTAATCTTTTTGCAGGTGGAGGGTCTTGCCTTTAATTTATAAAAAAAAAAAAAAATGTAACATCTGTGAAGCGCAATAAGACATGGTATGCCCGTATTTTTAAATTAAACAATCATACTCTAACACTATTTTGTAGTCCGCTTATTTTATTTAGCAGTAAGTACATCATGAACGTTTTGCCATATCAATATTTTTGTAATACAACTTTTGATGGTTACATTGTATTTCACGATTGCATTTAGTAGTGGATTTGGCTGCAAAACCTAAATTAATAGTAATCTGAACAAAAGAGAAGCCTTTTCCTCTTTTATTTAAAACAAATCTAGGGGTGGGCTGTCTAGGACTAGTATGGCAGTTTTATTATTATCTAGATCTCAGCATTCTAATTTTCTGTTTCACCATCCTAGTATCTGGTTTTTATCCTCAATCTTGCCAAGATGGTAGCTATGGCCCCAGCAATACATAGTCTAGGAAGGAGGAAGAGGATAAGGGCAAATTGGGGATGCCTTCCAATTTATTAAGCTACCTTTAAGAAATTTTCCTAGCAGTTCTTCCATATAGCTAGCTCCCACTTACATTTCACTGGCCACACATAGCAACAAGGGAGGCTGGGAAATGTAGTCTTTTAGTCAGGCAAATTGCCACTCAGATAAAAATCAGAGTTCTGTTATTAAGAAATATTTGAGAGAATGGATATTGAGTAGGGAACTAGCAGTCTCTGTCAAATACATCCAATGGATGCACCATAATTGCCTATTTTTGGACATATGAATTGTTCCCAGTTTTTCACTACTATTAAAAACGCTGAGATAACATCCTTGTGCAGACATCTTTGCCTAACCTCTGATTATTTCCTTAAGCTAAATTCCTGGAAGTGGAATTACTGGGTCAAAGGGTATGGGCATTTTTAACCCTTTGCGGTCCAATTTTATTTTTGGAATGCAAACAATCTGGTCCAAATTAATTGACGGGATTGAATGTTGAACCGGTTTGTGGTGTTGACCTCAGCCTCGATGTTGGACCTGCTACTAGCGCCTGGTCTGTCGAGTCAGCCTCGACGTTGGACCGAAAAGGGTTAAGGCTTTTGATACATACTGCCAAATTGCTTTCTAGAAAGGTTGAACCAGTTTTATACTCCCACCAGCAGTGTTTGAGAATTCCCTTTACCTTATCCTATACCCTCACCAACACTGGGTATTATCATTCTTCTTAGTATTTGCCATTTTGGTAGTAAAAAATGGTGTGTCGTCTTAATTTGCATTTGTTTAATAGGAAGGTTTAATATTTTTTCATCAAGTTTAATATTCATGAAGTTTGATATTAATTTACATTATTTTACATTACCATTTTATGTCCATTTTCCTACTGGAATGTTTGTCTTTTTCTTATTGACTATTAAGGTTTTTTTAATATTAAATGTATCAAGAAGGTTGAAATTATTTTGATGGAGTTTTCATTCCCAAAGTGAGTTTATGGTTATTATTTTAAAACCGTTTTTCTGAAAAATGATCCAAACATACTTGCGCTGGCATTTTATTCGATTTCAGTGTTTTGATTTGATAGTTTATATAGATTAAATAAAAGAATAAGTATTATTACTTCATTTGAATTATGTGCTTTGGACTAATTTGCTTTTAAAAACCGAAATACCTTGCTGAAAGGCTGCTTATTATTTTGGATTGGTTTTGTAAAACTGTCATTGATTTATTCAATGCAAAATTTTTGTATAGACATCTGAAAGAAAAAGAGTTTCCATTTTAATACTTTATATTAAATTGATACTCAATTCTTTAGAAATATAGTTTTAAAATTTGTGTTCTTTTTTGAAGGCCATTTGGATATGGTTCGCTTTCTACTTGATGCTGGTGCAGATCAAGAGCACAAAACAGATGAGATGCACACTGCCTTAATGGAGGCTTGCATGGTAATTTTAAAGTGCACTCACTTAAGATTTGGGGGGAAGAAAAGGTCATGTTTGTTTAAGTCTTTAAGGATTAATTTTATATTTTTAGAAAAATATTTATTATGCCATCAGTAGATTTTTTAAATTTTGACAATACTAAAGAGGGAAAGGGAAATATCTATTTTATTTACCTTTTGATAGTAAATCTCTCAATTTAGGAAACAGTACAAAAGTCAGTCTTGACTCTGTTATTTCCAACTCACTGATACACTTTTTTTATTTTTCCCCCTATTTTTTTTAATGTAGTAAAATACACAACATAAAATTTACCATCTTAACTATGTCTTCTTCATGGATTAATCCTTTTATTATTTATAAATTCTGTATCTCTGGTAATTTTCTTTGTTCTGAGGTCTGCTTTATCTGATTATTAATAGTAGCTATGCCTGCTTCCCTTTGATTAATGTTTGCCCACTAAATTTTTTTTCCTAACTTTGATATGTTTGACCTGCCTCTATTATTATACTGAAATGAATTTCTTAATTGGTTTGTTTAGACCATTTATATTTAAATATAAATATTGTTATGGTGTTTTTATATTCTGGCTCTATGTTGAAATTGTTTGTGTGTTTTTTTTTTGAAATTTATTTTTTTTTTGTTTTCTCCATTTTTTAAATCTATTTTCTGTAATTTATCATTAATAGTTATTTTGAAGTCTTTTTCTGTTAACTCCTATCTTTGATTCAGTTCTGGATCTACTTTTACTGGTTATTTTATATCTTGATGATTAGTCACTTTTTCCTGCCTCTTAATATGTCTAGTATTTCAATTGTAAACCATATGCTGTGAATGATACCTTTTATGTTCTGGATTATCCTGTCTTTTTAAGACTGTTAAGTTTTGTTCTAGCAGGCAGTTAAATTACCAGTGAATCACTCTGATCCTATTGAGGCTTAATTCCAGCTTTACTCTTACTCCTTAGTCCTTACTCTTTGATCCTAGAGTAAGGGATTCTAGGTCCTACTTCTATTGTATGGCCTTCTATGATCTCAACTGATAGCCTAGGATATTCACCAAGGTCTTTTTTTTTTTTTTAATCCTCACTGAGGACATGTTTATTTTCTTGATTTTAGAGAGGACGGAGGGAGAGACATTGATATGAGAGAGAAACATCAATCTGTTGTCTTGTATATACACACCCCAATCGGGGATCGAACCCCCAACCTCTTGATGTATGGACACCGCTCTAATCAACTGAGCTATCTGGCCAGGGCTCACCAAGGTCTTTTCATTGTAGCTGAGTCTGAACTCTCAAAGTCTCCCACCTTTCAGGAGCCTTCTCTGCTATGTATCCTGGAGGCTCATCTTTGATGTGTTTCTAACGCAGGAGTTGCCCAAGTATCTGAGGATGAATTTATATAGTTTTTTGGGACTCCTTCTCCATATCTTCTTTTTCTCAGTTATCCTGCTCACACTCCCTAAGTCCTAAGTATTTGGCTGACTTGTGTTCTGGTTTTGTTCCCTTTACCCACAGAAATGTTCACTCTTTGTTTAGGCTCTATTTACTTTGGCCATGGTTGGAAAGAAACCAAAAAAACTGAAGTGAATGTACAGTTCATCTCATTGCTCCTTTCTTTCAATGATCGTTACCCTAGCCCCTAGCTTGGTTGCTGCCCAATGCCTCCCATTGCTTTATCTATTTTTTTTCTAATTTTTATAGTTAAGTCCAATATCAGCTATTGTTCTATGGCTAGGACATTTAAAGGCTTAGAATTAAAAAAACTTTTTAAAATAATGATATTAGACCTTTAAGAGTAGATTATTTATTTTATTATTCTTTTGGCAAAATTAATATTGTTTATTAATATCAAAAAGTGCTTAGTATAGTTTCTCTTTTAATATATGTACTCAAGATATGTTAACAGAATCCATAAAGGATCTTTAAAAATTCACATAAGTTCAAGCAAAACAATTTATTAGGAGCCTCCAGGAGCTTGGCACAGTCAGTAGTTCCCTGATCTGGGAACACTTATAAATCCTTATTTTCTTTTCTATTAGAAATGTATTTCAAACACCAAAGAACTCAATACAGTGATTTGGTTAAAATATATTTTATTTTACATATATTTGAAGAATTAGTTAAACCAAAAAAAATAAAAGTAAATTAGTAAAACTAAAATTTTAATGTGAAGTCATTTGTCTTTGACATTGTATCAAAAATTATTAAAGCTAGGCTAGTCATTTAGTTAAGTATAATGAAACTCTTGATGGTTGCCGAAATCTGACATTTAAGTAATGTATTACTTAATTATTTCTTTAATAAAAGAATTGCCCAACCTTATAAAACCTTAGTTTTGTACTCAGTCTTTACTTTTTATTAGCAATATTTTGGTCATTTAAAAAATATTAAACAACATGGCATCTGACTTTATATGCCACAACAAGAATTAAGGCCTACATAAATTTTTTAATTAAAGAATTTTAAACTGACAGAGGGTATTTATGATAGAGAGGTATAGAATGAATACCCTCTATGAGACTATTTAATGGCCTTCCTAAGATACTTAGTTTTACGTCTTTATAAAATTCATTGCTTCATTGCAGCAAGCTAGTGATGAGGAAAAATATAGGGTAATATCAGTCCTTAGGGGTTTACCTTGATGACATAATCCCAAGTGGTAATGACCTCACAGAATTTGTTGTTATTTTTTTGTCAAGTCTTTGTTTCTTAAATAGATCTAACTTAATTTCTACACTTAAACATGACACCTAAGTTTGAGGGTATAACTGTATTTGACCTGGCAGTAGTAGAAACATTATTTTGAGGTACTATCTACTATAGATGTAACAGTTTTTTTGCACTTCAAAAAAGATAGAAATTCAGAATTATTTGAAATTGTCACTGTATGTCACAAGTATGATTATTTTAGAAAATTTTGGGTTTGTTCAAAAGTAAAGTAAAATAATTTTAATGGGCTTTTGATAGATAGATCTTAAATTGCTCAGATGGGCATGATAATGTATATGCATCTAAACTGCATCTTTCTGTGTTTTCTCAATCTCTTTTGGCACTTTAAAAATCTCCAAATAATTTTCTTCCTCTTGTTTTACTTTTTAAAATCTGCAGGATGGACATGTAGAAGTAGCACGTTTGCTTTTGGATAGTGGTGCTCAAGTGAACATGCCTGCAGATTCATTCGAGTCTCCGTTAACACTAGCTGCCTGTGGAGGACATGTTGAATTGGCAGCTCTACTTATTGAAAGGGGAGCAAATCTTGAAGAAGTTAATGATGAAGGATATACTCCCTTGATGGAAGCTGCTCGGGAAGGACATGAAGAGATGGTGGCACTACTTTTAGCACAAGGTAAAGTAGATTTACTTCTTTAATAAAAAAATTAATTTCTTTTTGATGTTTTGTGTCAGTATCAATGAAGTTTACTATAACTAAAATTTTTTTTTGCACTGATGGACTGAACCCCAAAAGCAGAGATGATAGAGATGATTATTATAATTCAAAACAATTACTTTAATTATTTTGTAACTAGTTTTGTCTATTTTTATGCTCTCCCCAGGAGCAAATATAAATGCCCAGACAGAAGAAACCCAAGAAACAGCTTTGACTTTGGCTTGCTGTGGAGGATTTTCTGAAGTTGCAGACTTCCTGATTAAGGCAGGAGCTGATATAGAACTTGGCTGCTCCACACCTCTCATGGAGGCTTCTCAGGAAGGACACCTGGAGTTGGTTAAATATTTACTGGCTGCCGGTACGTGGCTTTAAAAATGCCTTTTAGAAAAAGATTTTTATGTTGCTTTCATAAGTTTAACAATTAGACTTAACTTTTTCATAACTTCCAAAGTTGAAGGACAGCTGTGCCACAATTTAACTGCTATTCTTAGGTTCCTAACTCTCTAAAAATGTCATTTTTGTAAAACTTTTTTTTTTAAATATATTTTTATAGATTTCAGAGAGGAAGAGAGAGGGAGAGAGAGAAACTTCAATAATGTGAGAGAATCGCTGATCGGCTGCCTCCTACATGCCCCCTACTGGGACTGAGCCCAAAACCTGGGCATGTGCCCTTGACTGGAACTGAACCCGGGACCTTTCAGTCCCCAGGCCGACGCTCTATCCACTGAGCCAAACCTGGTAGGGCTCTAAAAATGTCATTCAATAAATTTTTTCTTATTGTTACTAATGGCTGCTTAGTGACCATAGGCTTCTTCTGTTTGTTTTTTTAAGACTGAACTTTTTCTTGTTGTTAATTCTCACCTGAAGATATTTTTTTTCCCCTTGCTTTTCAGAGAAAGTGGAAGGGAGGTGGAAAGAGAGACAGAAACATTGATGTGAGAGGCGCTTTCCTTTCCCTGGAGCACGCCTTTCTATTTCCCTCCCCTCCCGTGCCCACCCCCCATCCCCCCAGGCACATTACTATTAGCTTCCTCATTCAAGCTCCAAGAGCCCTTCCTTTACCTCTATAACTTATTTCCTTAGCCCGTTTTTTCTAGAAATTACTTTTTCTGCCTCTGTAGTTTACCCAATAAATGTTCTCTTACAAAAAAAAAATACATCAATATGAGAGAACCACATTGACCAGTTGCCTCTTGTAGGTACCCCGACCAGGGCAGGAGAGCAAACCCACAACCCAGATATGTGCCCTTGCCCAAAATTGAACCCGAGACCCATTGGTGTGTGGGCGAACACTCTAACCATTGAGCACACCAGCCGGGACTTAACTTTAAAAAAGTAAATTTTTATTGATTTTAGAGAGGAAGAGGGGGAGGGAGGAGAGAGAGAAAGAAAGTGAGAGAAATATCGATGTGAGAGAGAAACATCAATTGGTTGCTGTGACCAGCAATTGAACCCCTTACCTTTTGGTGCACAGGACACTGCTCAACCAACTGAGCCACACCAGCCAGGGCCATTGGCTTCTTATTGGCCTTTTCTCTCCAGTGAATGGTTTGTGGCTTCTGGAAAAGAGAGACTAACATCTAATCTTTCTGCTACTAAGAGGAGGTGGGGATGACATTATAGAGATAATTTGGTATCTTTAAGCCTGCTCATTTCTTGACATTTCTGGGTTTTCACACACACACACACACACACACACACACGTGGGAGTTTTATTTTTTGCAAAAGTACTTACTATTAAAATAATTTGCCTTTATACATTGTTAAGCAATAATACAGCAAAGTAAGAATATACCAAATGGTCCCTAACCGGTTTGGCTCAGGGGATAGAGCATCAGCCTGCGTACTGAAGGGTCCCAGGTTCGATTCCGGTCAAGGGCATGTACCTTGGTTGCGGGCACATCCCCAGTAGGGGTGTGCAGGGGGCGGCTGATTGATGTTTCTCTCTCATCGATGTTTCTAACTCTCTATCCCTCTCCCTTCCTCTCTGTGAAAAATCAATAAAATATATTAAAAAAAATAAAGTTCTTAACTCTTAGAGATACAAACTATAACGTATTCATGGAAGGAATGACCTCTGAGACTTACTTCCTTAAAAAAAAAAAAAAAAGAATATACCAAATGAATTGATTCAGGTAGATGTAAACCTTTATATAATATAATTATCCATATATGTTATATTTGTTTAAAACTATGTAAAGGAAAATATTTAGCAAAATTTGATTCATCCTTTTTGGACTTTCACTGTTAAACATTAATTTGAATATAGCCCAGCCTCAATTTTTCTTTTGAATTACTATTGAAATAATTTCTTAATCCAGATGGTTAATAGTTCAGATGATTATTTAGATTTTGAATTAATGCACAAACTGACCATACAAGCAGATCTCTTCCCTGACTCAAATACTATTAATCACTATAATTAGTATATGCATTATTCAGTCACTGTTCCTTCATCATTTTCAGTAACTATGTCCCATTCAAGTGTCTTTCTCATGTTAGTTACACCTCAATTAAAAAATAGTCTTTCTGCCTGGCTGGTGTGGCTCAGTGGTTGAGCTTTGACCTCTGAACCAGGAGGTCATGGTTCGATTCCTGGTTAGGGCACATGCTCAGATTACAGGCTTGATCCCTGGTGTGGGGCATGTAGGAGGCAGCTGATCAATGATTCTCTCTCATCATTGATGTTTCTGTCTGTCTCTTTCTCTCCCTTCCTCTCTGAAATCAATAAAAATATATTTTTTTAAAAAATTATTGAATGTCCAACATTCTGCTAATTATTAATTACCCCTGGTCCCTGTATCGTAAATTATTAAACACATTATTATAGATATAGAAACTGATGCACAATCATGTTCCATAATTTCCCTAATGTATCCCAGCTAATCAGTGACAGAGTCAATACTTAGAACTCCTAACATTTTTTATTACATCACCATTGATTCTCGTATTGAGCTACTTTTGCTAATTTGAAGCATAGTTTCCAGAATTATCTTAGATATTTGAGAATCACTTTTTTATATGATCACTACCTAAAAAAATTTTTTTCTAGATTAAAGTATGATTTATTTACATAAAGTTCTTTTAGCACTAAAGAAAAATCCAATAGGTCTTTTAAAAAAATCTTTATTGGCCGAAACCGGTTTGGCTCAGTAGATAGAGCGTTGGCCTGCGGACTGAAAGGTTCCAGGTTCGATTCCGGTCAAGGGCATGTACCTGGGTTGCGGGCATATCCCCAGTAGGAGGTGTGCAGGAGGCAGCTGATCGATGTTTCTCTCTCATCGATGTTTCTAACTCTCTATCTCTCTCCCTTCCTCTCTGTAAAAAATCAATAAAATATATTTAAAAAAAAAAATCTTTATTGTTGAAAGTATTACAGATGTCTCCCATTTTTCCCCCATTGACTCCTTCTGGCCCGCCTCTGCCCCCAATATGTCTTTTAATACATTGCCTACACAATTTTCTAAAAATGAAAAACTTTTTTTTTATGGCATTTTTCCACACTATATAGGAAATGTAATTTAATGAATCCTAAGAACCCATTATCAGCATTAGCAATTTTTAATTTATGGCTAATCTCATTTCATCTATATGTCCTTCAATCCCCCATTATTTTTATAAAATTATTTTGATTTAAAATAAACATTTAAAAAATTTTTGCTGAGATAAAATTGTATTGTGAAATGCTTACCATAGTAAGTGTAGCTCACATCTGTCACCATACATAGTTACAAAAATATTTTTAAATTAAAATTTTAATTTTTAAATGTGAAAGTAAATTATTTTTAAAATAAGCTTATTTTTATAAATTAATTATAAAAAATATTTCAATATGTATCTCTAAAATATAATATTTCAAAAAATAACAGTGTACCCTGGCTGGTGTGGCTCAGTTGGTTGGGCATCATTCCGTGCACCAAAAGGTTGCCGGTTGGATTCCTAGTCGGGGCATATGCCCAGGTTGCGAGCTCCATTCCCCAGCTGAAGGTGTGCAGGAGGCAGCCAATTGATGTTTCACTCTCAGATTGATATTTCTCTCTCTCTCTCTCTCTCTCTCTCTCTCGCTCTCGCTCTCGCTCTCGCTCTCTCTGCCTCTCTTCCTTTCCCTTCTTCTCTTTCTAAAAATCAATAAAAATATATTTTTAAAAAGTAAAAATACTATTTCCTACCTAAATTTTTTAGTATAATTAAATATCCAAGGAGTTTTCATAATTTCCTGATAGTCCTATAAATGTGTATGTTTGTGTAATGCCTTTTGTGAATCAGTATTCAAATAAGATTCATATAATAACTATTGGTAAATATGTCTCTTAAATCTCTCTTAATCTGTAGGCTCCCCTTCCATCTTTCTTTTCTTATTCCTTCTAAGTTTCGGTTAAAGAAATGGAATGTTGTCCTAGCCGGTTTGGTTCAGTGGATAGAGCGTGGGCCTGCAGACTGAAGGGTCCTGGGTTCGATCCCTGGTTTGATTCTGGTCAGGGGCACATGCCCGGGTTGTGGGCTCGATCCCCAGTGGGGGGCATGCAGGAGGCAGCCAATCAATGATTATCTCTTTCATCATTGAAGTTTCTGTCTCTCTCCCTCTTCCTTCCTCTCTGAAATCAATAAAAGTAGATATTTTTTTTAAAGGAATGCTTATGTTTTAGGCTCTCTATAGTACAGATTTTGTTAATTACATTTCCATTTCATTTAATTTGTTTTTCTGTCCCTTGGATTTCCTATAAAGTAATAGTTAGATCTAAAAACTTGACTGAATTAGATGTGTGTGTGTGTGTTTACTAGACTATTTTATAGGTAGTATTTGTTATTTATAGTATTTATTATCTTGAGGAGATAATAAATGTTTGATGTCTCTTTTTGTAATATTATCAGCCATTGATGATCATTGCTTAGATCCATTAATTCAGTAGGGTTGCAATGTGGTGATGTTGTAAAGTCGACTGTTTCTTCTTTTCTTGTTTATTAGCTAGACTATGTCTATAAAGAGAAACTTCCCCTCATGAACTATTTGATTACTCTTAGGTGTAAATAATATATGAATAGCAGTATAAATGTTTGATTTTTTTTTTTTTTTAAGTTCCCACAAGGGTCTTTCTCTTTTTTAATCCTCACCTGAGGACATGTTACACCAATTCTAGAGAGAGAAAGGGAGAGAGAGAAACATCATCGGTTGTCTACCACATGCACCCAACTGGGGATCGAACCTGCAACCCAGGCATATCCCCTGACCAGAATTGAACCCTCGACCCATTGTTGCACTGGGACATGATCCAACCAGATGCTCCAACCAACCCAGCCATCTGGCCAGGGTTTTTTTCACCCTTTACTAGAGGCTCGGTGCATAGGATTCGTGCACTGATGGGGGCATGGCCTGCAGGGATCGGCCCGCTGTGGGAGTGCCGCTCGTCCTGGTCAGCCGAGCAGCTGTGGACTTGCCCTCTGAGAGGCTGCTCCCTGGTCCGGCATCTTCCATGGAGCCAGAGCACTCGCCTCTCAAGGGGACCCAGTTGGGGCCGGGCCCAGAGACAATAGCACTGAGAGGCAATGGGGTAGGCCTCAGTCCCATGGTGGCCACAAACCTGCCTCCCAGCCTCTGGGGTCAGCTCTGCGAGCCTAGCGGCTGCAGCAGTGCTACACAGCCTGCGGGCATCCAGAGAAGGCGGCAGGGAGTGAGGAGGAGGAGCCTGGGACGAGGAGGTGATGATCGCAGCCTGGGTTCCTGCCCATCAGCCCGGGGTTTGCAGCGGGAGCAGCCACTTATCCCGGTCAGCCAAGCGTTGCTCCCACTGTGGTACCACACTGACCACCAGGGGGCAGCTCCTGCGTTGAGCGTCTGCCCCCGGTGGTCAGTGCGCGTCATAGCGACTGGTTGACCGGTCATTCTACTTGTTCAGCCATTCGGGTCGCTGGCTTTTATTATATAGGATTAACATTTCCAAAATAATGAGGTGGTCCTCTAGCATCCTTCAGTAATGACCAATAAAGTATTTTATTTATTTGTTTGTTTGTTTACTTATTTAGTCCTCACCCCAGGACATGCATAGAGAGAGGAAAAAAAAAAAGAGGGAGGAAGAGAGAGAAAGAGAAACATCAGTGTGAGACAGAAACATTGATCGGTTGCTTTCCATATGTGTCCAACTGGGGATCAAACCCACACCCCAGGTATGTGCCCTGGCCAGGAATCGAATCGCCAACCTTTTGGTGTATAGGATGACGCTAAACCAATTGAGCCACTCCTGCTGGGCAAGTGTTTTTATGTTTTGATATGGACATTATTTTGAACTTTTGGATTTAAACATCTATGATGGCTTTTACCTCACCACAGTCCTCATTTTTGTTTTTAATGTAAAAATTGTCACAAGGTACTGGCAATTTGACTATCTTTGGTCAATAAGATTATCTCCTAAATTCTTTTTTTTTTTTTTTTTTTAAATATATTTTATTGATTTTTTACAGAGAGGAAGGGAGAGAGATAGAGAGCTAGAAACATCGATGAGAGAGAAACATCGATCAGCTGCCTCCTGCACATCTCCCACTGGGGATATGCCCGCAACCCAGGTACATGCCCTTGACCGGAATCGAACCTGGGACCCTTCAGTCCGCAGGCCGATGCTCTATCCACTGAGCCAAACCGGCTTCGGCCTAAATTCTTTTGATATGATCTCATTATAGTCTTTGAGGTTTCTTTGCGTTTTTGTTGTTCATCCTCAACTGAGGACGTTTTTTCACTGATTTTTTGAGAGTGGAAAGGAGAGGGAGAGACAGAGAGAAAGATCGCTGTGAGAGAGACATATCAGTGTGGTTGCCTCAGCACACACGGGATCAAACCTGCAACCCAGGTACATGCCCTCGACTGGAATTGAACCTGTGCCCTTAGTCTGCCGGCCGACACTCTATCCCAGCGGTTCTCAATCTGTGGGTTGCGACCCCTTTGGGGGTCAAACGACCCTTTCACAGGGGTAGCCTAAGACCATCAGAAAACACATATATAATTACATATTGTTTTTGTGATTAATCACTATGCTTTAATTATGTTCAATTTGTAACCATGAAAATACATCCTGCATATCAGATATTTACGTTACAATTCATAACAGTAGCAAAATTACAGTTATGAAGTAGCAATGAAAATAATTTTATGGTTGGGGGTCACCACAACATGAGGAACTATTAAAGGGTCACGGCATTAGGAAGGTTGAGAACCACTGTTCTATCCACTGAGCCAAACCAGCTAGTGCGAGGTTTCTTTGCTTTCTGATATGCTCATCTTTGCAGCTTTTGCCCCAATCTTGGAACCAATCATTTTTTCTAAGAAGCACTCATTCCACTTAGTAGGAAATGATACTTAGAGACCACAATCTAAGTTAAAAGTGCTGTTTCTGCTTGGTCTATCATTGTCTCTGGTCTTTATAGTTGGTCAGATTTAGGAAATATTTATTTTTCTTATAGATAAAATACATCATGAGTTCATGTCAATACTTCTAATACTAACCTCAGCAATGTCATATCTGTGTTTTCTCTTAATGCCAAAAAATTTCACTTCTTGCCAAAGGATTACTCATTTTATTTTTATCACAATATCTATAGAACTGTCTCAGAATACAATCCAACACTACCACCAATATGATTTCTGAAAACTGGTATTTTTTTGTTTTTGTAGCTCTTTCATTTCTTAGGGTATTTCTTATGAGGATGTGAAGGCAGATTTTACTGTGCTTTAAAATCATTTGGTATAGTTTCTGTGTGACTAAAAGCATTTTTACAAAGTATATTTAAAGGAAAATTAGGATATTTAAAATACATACCAATAGTTTCATCAGGTTTTTTGTTGGTTTTTTTGTTCTGTTTTGTTTTTAACATTTAGGACTATTGTGAAGTAAAAGCCATCATAGTAAAAGCTCTCATAATAGTATCCATATCAAATTTAATTTTTAAAAATATGTGTTTATTGGTTTCAGAGAGGAAAAGAGAGGGGAAAAAGAGATAGAACTATCAATGATGAGAGAGAATCATTGATCGGCTGCCTCCTACATGCCTCCTCCTAGGAATTGAGCCCAAAATCTGGGCATGTGCCCCACCAGGAATTGAACTGTGACCTCCTGGTTCATGTGTCAATGCTCAACCCCTGTGCCATACTGGCGAGGCTTCATACCTATCAGTTTCACCAAATTGCAAAATTAAACTATTTAATATAATGTATAATTCACAAAGTAAATTTATGATTGTTTTTTGTTTGCTAGGTGCTAATGTTCATGCTACAACAGCAACAGGAGACACAGCCTTAACCTATGCTTGTGAAAATGGACATACAGATGTTGCAGATGTTTTACTTCAAGCAGGGGCTGATTTAGTAAGATATTTTTAATTTCAAATATTTTTGTTTTAATTCTCATTTATTTCTTTTTAACATTTAGAAAAAGCTAATAAAGTTCAATAGTTTGCATGCTTTATATAAAATAACTTTAAAAAACACTTGGCTATTTGTTCTACAGTGGGGCCTTGACTTACGAGTGTCCCGACTAACGAGTTTTTTGAGATACCAGCTGTCTCTCTGCCAATTTTTTGCATTGAGTTGACAGAGTAATTTGAGTTAACGAGCTCCTTAACGAGCTCCATCTCCGAACAAATTAAACTCGTAAGTCAAGGCCCTACTGTAGTTTTATTGCATTTAATAACAATATTTTAAAATAACTTAGTTTTTTCTTCTCACCCAGTCCCAATTGATATCCTTACACTTTTTAAACTGCCCTTTATTAGACATATTATATATTCAATGATATGTTTACAGAATAGAATAACCTGTCAAATCACTTTAAGTGATTTCTTTTGTTTTTCTAATTTGACTTTAAAAATAAAGCTATCATCTTTCTAACATTATTAAAGTATTCTATTATTTTTCTGTTCTTTTAGTATTTTTCAGTTTGGCTTTTCAAAGTTTTAAATTAGATGGCAGATTTATGTGTGTAATATTCCTTACAACTGTGGGAATTGTAAATCATATCCCACTTAAAGGTTTATGCTTCTTGCTGAAATGTGTGCTTTGATTCATTTTTATTTTGTAAGGGTTCTTTATTTTTTTTTTTCTTTTCTTTTTCTTTTTTTTTTTTTATTGCTTAAAATATTACAAAGGGTATTACATATGTGTCCATTTTATCCCCCCGCCCTAGACAGTCCCCTAGCCTCCCCTATCCCCCAGTGTCTTATGTCCATTGGTTATGCTTATATGCATGCATACAAGTCCTTTAGTTGATCTCTTACCCCCCTACCTCCTGCCCCCCAACCCTCCCCGGCCTTCCCGCTGCAGTTTGACAATCTGTTTGAGGCAGCTCTGCCTCTGTATCTATTATGTAAGGGTTCTTTAAACTGCTTTCTAGTTTCTCACAAAATTCCCTTATATATTTCATAAAAATGTATGAGACATGTTATAATGAATCAAATTTATTAGTTTTAGTTATTTGGAAAAAACTGTGCAACTATTGTCTTTTAAACCATTTCTAATAACAGACATTCCCAAATAGATACCTGAGATTATTGGAAAATAATTATTGACTAAAGTAAATGTATAATTATGCCATTTACTACTATTTCTACTAATACTAAATATTATAATAACACTAGCATTCATTATTATTAATTAGGATCTTCCCCATCAGTTAGAATTTCTGAGGTGTACTTACTAATATTTATTTGAGAATTAGAGGCCTGGTGCATGAAATTTGTGCACTCCCTCAACCCGGCCTGCACCCTCTCACAGTCTGGGAGACCTCGGGGGATGTCCAGCTGACGGCTTAGGCCTGCTCCCCACAGTTGAACATCCTTAGCGCTGCCGCAGAGGCAGGAAAGGCTCCTGCCAGCACTGCTGTGCTCGCCACCCGTGAGCCTGGCTTCTGGCTGAGTGGTGCTCCCCCTGTGGGAGTGCACTGACCACCAGGGGACAGCTCCTGCATTGAGTGTCTGACCTCTGGTGGTCAGTGCACGTCTTAGCTACCGGTCATTCCATCGTTCAGTCAATTTGCATATTATCCTTTTATTATATAGGATTATGACAGAGAGACATGTTAAATAGACCTCAATCTTCTGCCTTCTTTCTATATCTTTTTCCTTTTTTAAAGTTGCTTTGGGACATCTGTAAAAATTAAGAATTGTCATATTTCACCACTTGAAATAAAGAAATAGAGTAGGAAAAAAAAGAAATAGGGTCGAACATAAAAGCTTAGATACTATAAAGATATGTAATATTCGTATCCTCCAAATTCTTACCTGAATTCTCTCTTCCATTTTTCTGCAACAAAGTCACTTTCTCAGCCTGTTTGTTGAGAGTTTTTCTGAAAATATTAAATAGGAAAAAGATAAACTGTTAAATGTATTCTAGTGTATAGCGTAATCTTACTCATTTTGATTGATTTGAGTTAGAAATCTATTATGAAATACTAGAGGCCTGGTGCATGTGCACTGTTGGGGTCCCTCAACCTGGCCTGTGCAATCCGGAACTTCTCAGGGGATGTTGGATTGACCCCCGCAGGTGCATGAATCCATGTGTTGAGCATCTGCCCCCTGGTGGTCAGTGCATGTCATAGCTACCGGTCGCATGGTCAGGCAGTTGTTCAGTCACTTAGGTTTTTATATACATAGATTTTCAAATGTTTTATTTGTATAGTCTTCTGGAATTATGTAGTGTTTGTGATTAGAGTTCTTGAGAAGATTTGCATTAAATGAACAAATAGATTTGAATTTAATGTTTTACATTTAAAATATTAGATTTAAAAATGGCTCAGATAAATACATATCTTAATTAAATACAAAGGTAATACTATTATTTTAACAATTATTTTTCTATTTTGCAGCCTATCTTTGCATTTCTTATTTACATGTAATTATAATACCGTTTTTTTATTTTTTCCACTATTTTTGCATAATCTTCATATTATTACATACTCTATAATTCTTTCATAATATTTCATCAAGTTAATGAACCATAACCACTTACTATTGAAGTTTGACTTGCTTTTCATTTCTCACTGTTATAAATACTGTTAGGTTTAATAATTTTATATGCATAACTTTTTCTTTTCCTCCTTTTCAGTTATTTTATATATTGATTTTAACTTTTAAAAATATATTGCTTATCACATGCTTTGCAGTCTGTGGACAGACATTTCAATTTTAATATTAGTTCTTTTACTAGTTATATTCTTTATAGAAGATGTGGAAAGTGTAGGAAAGCATAGTAAGTTGGTATTTAAAACCTATAAATAAACTTTGTAATTTCAGACTTTACTATAAGCCAGAGAGGGGTGAAAAAAACCTAGTCAAATATAAGAAGTGAGTAAAGCAGGCAATATCAGTTCCTGAGTCCTGAGAAAAATGATTGCTAATTCTTACTAGCTGGACCTTGCAAGGCAGTAACATCTTTCTTGTCCTTTATTCTTTGATGCTGTCTCCTAGTATCTGTTTTGTGCTATAGTAATTTCCTCCAGTGGTTTGCAGATGGAAGACTTTCCACTCCCATTGCTTGGAATGGAGATATAGTCCATTTGAACATTCCATAGGTGTGTTCTTGATATCTAGGTTTGCTAGTTCTTTAAGTTAAATAGATGTTATTGTGGGTTGGCTGGGCACCTTCGTTTTGGAGAACTATTTTCATGCTTAGTTTCAAATAAGGATGTACAAGTAAGTAAACCTTTGGAACATAATTTGGACCAACCCTCAAGCCTTAATTAGATTTTAGAGTTCAACTTTTGCCATAATTCAAGGTTTTGATATTATAATTTTTTAAAAGGAGCTTAAAAACTGTTGTTTTCCATTATTTAAAATATTCTGCACCAGAATCAGTTAAGATATTGATGTGAATTTTTAAAAACAATGACTAATGGTCTAGAACCGTGGTCGGCAAACTGCGGCTCGAGAGCCAAATGCGGCTCTTTGACCCCTTCAGTGTGGCTCTTCCTAAGCCTTAGGAGTACCCTAATTAAGTTAATAACAATGTACCTACCTATATAGTTTAAGTTTAAAAAATTTGGCTCTCAAAAGAAATTTCAGTCGTTGTACTGTTGATATTTGGCTCTGTTGACAAATGAGTTTGCCGACCAGAACAGTGGTCGGCAAACTGTGGCTCGCAAGCCGTATGCAGCTCTTTGGCCCCTTGAGTGTGGCCATGAAGTTTCAATCGCACTGTATGTGCGTGCCCGCACGTGGTATTTTGTGGAAGAGCCACACTCAAGGGGCCACAGTTTGCTAACCACTGGTCTAGAATGATACTAACTCTAGACCATTCTCAATAGTAACTGTTCATTAGACCAGAAGAGAAAGTTTTAATATTTCATACTTGTTCTCATCTCTATAGCTTACTTCATTCAGTTCAAGCACTTACGGCTTGATTTCTTTTACACAGTCTTCTAGCCCCCCTTTAGTTTTACTTCTCAATTTCAAGGTGGAGAATTTGCATAGTTAACTATTGAACAGTATAATTTGGATTATAAACCACTACTTTATTTTTTCTCTTGCTTGCTTTTAATTTTGATCTACTTTGTTGTCTGTTTTCCTGGTTTCCATGCCCAACCATTTTATTGTTATAGACATGATCCTTGTCTATGAAACATGACTGCACTGGGTCAGAGTTTCTAAAGACCCTAATGCAGCGGTTCTCAACCTGTGGGTCGCGACCATCGGAAAACACATATAGCATATCAGATATTTACATTACGATTCACAACAGTAGCAAAATTACAGTTACGAAGTAGCAATGAAAATAATTTTATGGTTGGGGTCACCACAACATGAGGAACTGTATAAAAGGGTCACGGCATTAGGAAGGTTGAGAACCGCTGTGAAATATAGATATGTAGTATGTTTAGATGACAACATTGTGTTGGCCAACATGTCAAAGGTTTTTTGATTTGGTGAGTTTTTGTGTTTTTCAAACCATTTGTGAAGATGGTAGAATCTCTCTTTTCATCATGGCATATTAATTTCAGCATTAAAACTTTGATACATTTGTGCTCAACCAGTGTGGCTCTGTGGTTGAGTGTTGACCCATGCACTAAGAGGTCACCTGTTCAATTCCCGATCAGGGCACATGCCCAGGGTGCGGGCTCAATCCCCAGTAGGGGATGTGCAGGAGGCAGCTGATTGATGTTTCTCTCTCTTTTCCCTCTCCCTTCCTCTCTCTCTAAAATCAATAAAAATATTTCTTTTAAATTAAGGAAAACTTTGATACATTTGTTAAGATAGAAATATTTGTCATCTTTAGAATTTCCTTCACATGTATTTGCCAACAAAGCTGAAGTTGAAATGGGAAAGAGGGTGGTATATAAATTAGGTAAATAAGTATACTTCCTTGTGTCTAGCTCC